TAGTATATTATCTCTGGATATTATGTAGGAGTCTAAAAAATATTTGCTTATGGACATCAGCTCGTATTATTGAAAAGGGTAAAAACAAATCTAAAAAGAGAACATCAAAGAAATACAGGTCTCTACCATACTTTATTTATTTGTGGGAGACAGTAGTTTATTTTACAAACAGCTAATACATTGGGATCAGGGCTATCAAAATGTCTTGATCCAACAAAAACAAAAATACAGTAAAAGTAAAAGAGAACTAACTGCTCCTGAATCCCATGTATCGCCTATCTGCAGAAGGAAACGCATGTCGTATGGCCAGTACAACACATGAAGGCACTACTCTCCTGTTCCCACGCCCTAGCTTTCCAAATCTCCTCATAATGTACTGCCTGTACCCAGCTTTGCGGAAACTTTCCATGGTAAAATCAAATTCATCCGAACGAAAATCACATCTGGCTTTTATACAAACTTCAAGAACGTCCCTATCCAAACAAATATTAGAAAACGTGTTCAACTGTGTTATGCAGTTGACCCTTTTACAACATACATTTTCCATGTCAGTCTCCATGGGGCAACAACGACGACATTTGCACCACTGAAGGACTGCATTTCCTGGAGGTGAAGGTGGGTTTCCAGCAGCACTAAGTAAGTTTTTAGCAAAGTCCAGGCTACCTCGACCCATACAAAGCAACTCAGTCAGGAACTGGTCCTTCTGACTGTCATCCAGGGAAGTAACAAATGTCTGTGGTAGATAGGAAAGTACGATGAGGAAAATACTAGAATAATAATGAGCGAGTTATTTAGGGGTTAGCTATTAAAATTCAGGGTTCATTTTATTACATTGTAGGGGTTTGTTTTGACGTTTGCTTGTCCGACAACGAATAATTGCGCTGCTATTTATGACTGGCTGTAAATTATAATAAAACATACCTTGATGTCGGACACGGTTGTCTGGAGATCGTTCTGAAATTGCACCTCGCCATCGGCCTCTCTCACTCTTTCATGTGAATCGGCAGCTTGCACACGGTTTCCTCTTCGCTGAACATTACCATCTGAAGACTAATAAATCAAAAAGGTTAATTTAGTCACAAAGTAGCCAAAAAACCTAGAGGAACCGTTCAATACCTTGTTGCGACAGTTCGTAGGATTACAGCCACAAGATGGTCCGCAGTGCCGATTTGAAGCTTTACAAAAACAACTTCCTCGCCCATTCTTTCCAGAACACATTCCTTTGCAGTTGCATTTTATGGCCTGAGCTTCCTAAGAAATTACACAAAAGATTAGATTGGGAAATCGAAAAATTTCACAGTCAAATCAGACCTCGAATTCAAAAAAATCTCACCTCGTGCTCAGACGTTTCGGTCCTTACATGACCTTCATCGTCTTCATCGTGTTCAACTATGGATCCATAAGCATTCACTACAATTTGACACCCTAAACTGCTTTCTCCGGTGACATCTAATGACATAGTTTCCTCCATTTTGAAAAGAATTAGTCTTGCTTGGAATTAGTCTTACTGTTTCTTACAGCCTTCGGCCAAGCGTGAAAGAAGTGAAAACCCCGCAAACGTGTCAGCCAATCAAAACACTGCATTTGACAAGAGAAGCGTTTCAAAACAAAAACCCAGGCGCGCAAAGCCGTTTGGGTGAACATGGGCCTTTAATACAGATTATTTTTTTTATTCATCAGACTAATGTTTTGTTCCCCCTTTCATCTTTTTAGTGCAGTTGTTTTATTTTGCTCTTTGCTTTTTTTTTTTTTTTTATACATCCAAGTAGCTACCTCTGCAACTAGCTTTTTTTTGTATTTCCAGGTTGGGTAGTCACCAGTCACAACCAGTTGGAATTCTTTCACGTATTCCTCAAGCTCAGGACACACTCCTAGTGTGTGTTCAAGGGCTGCTGCATAATCATTCTTGCTGTGAAGAGACTGCTGGAACTCATCAAGCGACCATGACGTTCTTAAACTTTCTATTTCATGCCTCTCTGCATCCCAATACACCCTTGGTAATTGAAAGCAAGTTATTGAGAGCAAGTGAATAAAATGTTGTTACTACTTTTATTGTATAGCTTGATTTGAATAATTTTTTATTCTACTTGCATGTACTTGCTAACCATCAAAAGCTTAAAGATTTTATTTTGAAAATGTAACAGTATTAAAAAGTTCAGTTTCTTTTGTTTTCAGAAATTTTTCAACTATTCTACAGTCACCCCTGTGTTCAACAGTCACCCTAAGGAAATGGCAAGGTGACTGTTATATACAGGTCAACTTTGCAGATAATATAAGTCAATTGAAAATTTTGGGAAGTTGTCCAGTGACCGTTATATACAGGGTGACTGCTATATACAGCTAATCTTTGCAGAAAAGACAACTGAAAATTTTAGGAAGTTGTCTTGTGACCGTAATATACAGGGTGACCACTATATACAGGGCTGTTATATATGGGTTTGGCTGTATTAAAAATTTATTGGAGGCACTAGCTGAGTGTGTACTGTGAAGATTTAAAATAGGAGTTTAGAAGGCTTTATTAAGTGTACCTGAGATTCTGAAAGCTGTTCTGGATATTTGAAAAATTGACTTGTATGTATTCAACAGGTAGTGAAGACAGGAAGCTGGAGGAAAAATATTTGGGCAGTTCAACGCGAAAATATCCCTAGAGGTGGTCAATATCAATTCCTCCCTGGCACTCTCTGATTGCTCCATCTGGCATCACCACTCTTGGTGACCGGTGGTTTAATTTAATGTCATCATTTTGAGGCACAGCGTGGATGTTACAATGGATGTCTGCTAACACTGTGCACATGCGCCATGATGTACTTGTTACTGAGCTCGTTGGCTTCCTTTGTGCATGTATGAAGTGGATGTCATCTTCAATGCGTAGGATGAATTTTTCTTCCTTTGAAAAAAGTTTCTGACTAAGATCTTTTGATGCAGTTGCAAATATTACAGCATTGTATATGTATAATTTATGGTCTTTGACATTGTTCAAAAAAGACTGCTTACCAATGCCTTCTTAACTATTTAGAGAGAAAAATGTAGCTGGAAATCTTATGTCTGAGATTGTTTTTTGGTCATGATATGATAAGTGTGTCTCTGATAATGTGTTTCCCTTCCTCAAAATAAATCCCATTCTCAAGTTACCAAGGGTGGTAGTTGCCTCTTAATATCCCAACAACTTTTTGTTTTCAGTAGTAGGTATCTTTTTGTAGTTGAATGCTGGACTGGTTGAGGGAGAGGCATACAAAAGGCCCCTGCTGTCCAGTCACAATAAGGCTTTATGAGCCATTCAAGACAAGGCACAGGTGAAGTGTATTTTTAGATTCATTACCTTGGACCGAAAATGTAAAAGGATATTTTCTTATTAATCTGTTATTGACCATGGAAGATTATTTTTTAAGGTCTTTCTTATTATACCTTCATTGCAATTTTCACTTTTTTTCTCACTTCTTCTTTGTTTGTTGTGGCCAAAGCTTTCTCATAATTGTTTATAGAGTGAGGATGGCAACTGTATCCAAGCACCATTCCAGACATCAGTGAGGAGTAACTTGCTCCACTTAATTTAAGTTGAAGACCACTCGCTTTTTGCATTGGACAGTTTTTCTGCCAATGAAACATCATTAGATAAATATGATTAATTTTTTCAAGATCCTATCATTTTTTTCCATGACAAATAATCTCTGAGTGTGTGGATGGTTGTTCACATGTAACAAGTCTACTTTCAATATACTTTCAAAGTTTTATTTGTATTTTGTTATCACCAGAGACAGATTTCTTATTTTTCTTTTTTTAAAAGATTATTTCTCTTGAAGAAAGAAGGAAAAAATAGTGTGTTGTACATATGAGTTGGCGTCTTCTCCCTTATCCTTTAATGTGGTTTAATTCTATTATGGTGCATGTAAGTAGTTTTAACATCATTTTTGTTCGTACGAAATGGGGACCATACCTGATTTCTGAAAAAGCTGAGGTTATGCAGAAGAGAAACTACTCTTATCCGCTGGAGATTGCATCTCTTAATGGAGGGGGGTTGTTTGTCATCATTCAATATAGCCTGGAAGATGTCTTCAAACAGGCCTGGAGCATGAACGTCACAGAATTTCTCCATTTCGTCTGGATCATACAAGTTCTTTCCCCCTTTGCATAATGTGTAACCAAAGACTTGTGAAATTGGTGAACAAGAGTGCTGAATGTTGTGTCTCCTTTAGCAGAGAGAAATATTTATAAGAGTAAAAGTTATGGTTTTGTAGTCAGGGGTGAAAATGCCCACAATTTACACTCTAAATTAATTTATTTATAATTGGTTCCTCAAAGTTGTGCTAACTAAAAATACCTTCTTTGTATGAAACAAAATGAATGTGATATGAATCAGGACACGGTCAAAGTTAAGAGAACTGTGTGCTAGTGATTTGTTGTTCTCTTGGAACAAACACATTTTTCCCTCTACCTCAAGCTTAATCAGGAATATGAAAACATTTAGCTTAGTTTTTGGAATATTTGTTTTATCCCTGTCAAAGTGATATCTTGGTTAAGCAGACTGTAAGGATGCATAAGTGCACAAAAAAAGGGTAAAACTTGTTGCCTTTATACAGGGTTTACCTTGTACTTTCTTGGAAAGCATGATGTTCTCTTCCCTCAAATCCTTATTTAATTCATGCTGCTGACTTTGTTTTTCCAGCAAGTTTTTGTTATGCTGTAAAACTTCTGTTGAAATAATAGCGATATTAGCAACCTTGGTTGCTAGGCTACACAGCTTTAATACTGACCAAGATATCTGTTTAAAGTTATTATAGTCAGCCAATAGGTGGATGCAGTTTGCAGTGACGTTAATTGTATAGTTATTACATTAAAAGGAACCATGGACACCAACTACATTGTATTTTAGAGAGTGAGAAATTTATTAGTGTCAATTGGTTTTTCCTGGGCACAGATCAAAAACATATTACACTTTTCAAAATTTAATTTGCAAGTCAATGAAGCTATTGTTTTGGAACCTGAATGCAATCTGTTATTTTTATTTATCAATTTTTTTTTTGCACTGGTTAAAAAAAATGTGAGTTGATTGCTGGTTGCACTCCCCCTGTTACAGCATCACATATTGTAACTGTCAAACCAACTAATAATACCTTTTAGTACTAGAGGATAATAAATTTGGGGGGGGGGAATAATCTAGGGCATAAGAGGATGTTTTCTACCCGAGAAACATATATGGGTAGTGTTATATCAAGAATGTTAATTATGAACTGCCATATTTCTTGTTTACACCTTTAAAAACTCATTTGAGCTGTAAAAAGCCTTTAGTGTCCAGTCATGCTTAAGTTAATTAAGTGGACTTCTATGTGGATGTGGGGGGGGAGTTGAAAAGTGTTGAAAAGTAATATCCAGTCATACTACATGCACCCACCTTCAAGTTTCTTTTGGAGGTTTTTATTATGGTTTTCAATTTCTTTCTGCTTTATTTCCAGGTTTTGCTTTTGATCCCTGAGGGTTTCTACCTGGTTAACTAATTCTGCAAAACTGTTAGAAAGTGCTTCTTTCCTTGTGTCCGTTCTAGGGCGCAAATAAAGAATAGGGTATAGGGTTTGTGACAGGTAGAAAAATACCAAACCATACACACTGTGTTTTGAAAGTGAAATAATATTTTAACCTCACACCCACCTTTGTTGGTGAAATGTATTCGTCAATTTGACAAATTCTGACATCTTTGTCAGCTAATTCTAAGTGACCCTCGCATATCATTGTTCCAGTGTGATGAACTGTTTTGGTCTCGTCAAAAGCCGAAAAAAGGCGCTGAGGGCATGGTAGTTTCGAAAACGAAGCACTTGAAAACGAAGACCGAAGCACGAAGCACCCAAAACTCGAAAACGAAGCACCCTAAATCGAAAACGAAGCACTCTATCTCGAAAACAAAGCACCCAAAACTCGAAAACGAAGACCCCTAAATCTCGAAAACGAAGCACCCTAGATCGAAAACGAAGCACCCAAAAACTCGAAACCGGTCTGTCCTTTATAAACACGAGACCAATGCTTATACAGCAGGAATCAAGCACGATAACGAATCGAATTCTCCTGTTCCCCACCATAGAGCCTGGTCCCAGGCTATTACCCTAGAACAAATTCTGCCTGGATCTGATCTGATCTGATCACGCAGTGTCATAGATACCCAATATGTAAGACTGCAAAACAATCGTTTTTTTTTTTCTTAAAATCAGTAAAGAAGTCGGTAAAGCGTGGCGTAAGAGTAATACGCGCGAGCCTCACACTCCGTTTTCAGCCTCGTTTCAGACCATTTGTGTTACTGCTCACGCGCACTTGAATACGCCAAAATCTGCTGACGGACAGTTTTGAAGTCTACATAAACATGTATGTGTACCGAAAAAATGTATATTAAGGTAAGATGTATCAAGTATAGCGAGACTAATAATAAAATTAATACAGGATATCCTACAAAGAAACGGTCAGTGAAACAGTTGGTTATAAAACCTTGGGATGGATTTTGTGGACCTTTAGAGGTGCGGACGCATCCGCTGCCTCCACCTGATTCGGATTGCGTCATATTAGACGTAAAGTTGCACTTATTAAACCTACAGAGGTTTCGAGTTTTGGGTGCTTCGTTTTCGAAATTTAGGGGTCTTCGTTTTCGAGTTTTGAGTGCTTCGTTTTCGAGTTTTGGGTGCTTCGTTTTTGAGATTTTGGGTTCTTCGTTTTCGATCTAGGGTGCTTCGTTTTCGAGATTTGGGTGCTTCGTTTTTGAGATAGGGTGCTTCGTTTTCGAGTTTTGGGTGCTTCGTTTTCGAGATTTGGGTGCTTTGTGCTTCGGTCTTCGTTTTCGAAACTACCCTGAGGGCATAGAATAAGAGCATCCTTGCAGGCATTTTCAGGGCCGCAGAAAGGAAAACAGCAGCTTACTTTGTCAATATGTTTTTTACAAAGAGTTGTATCACTGGAAAAACCACGTGCCAACCAAAACAGAGACATTTCCCCAACAGTCACTGGCAGCAAGTGCCGAGTGTTGACTGTTTTTGTTTCTCAGCTCTCGCGGTGTTTTGACACAAAACATCTCAATCACAGTTGTTTAAAAGGACAAAAAACGCCGGTGTTGTTGTCGGAAACATTAAGAAAATTGACAGTTTTTGCCAGCCACCCTGTAGCCGCGGTTTAGGTGGGAAAACTTACGTGAGCGAGTGCTGGGCAATGAGCAATAACAAGAACACAGTTGTCGAAGGTCAAAGTAAAACCCTTTATTAAATAAAACACAAACGATCAGAAACATAAATTTTCCCTCTATAACAATCTTACGAACCAAAAACCCTACATACTATCACCTCAATGAGTGAAAATACAAATTAGCACGAGTTCCTTGAAATCTAAAGTGATTTAAAGCAGTAATTAATTCAAACTTCGACTCGAAGACGCCTCCTTTGTTGTTCTCAAGTTGTAAAAGTGAAAGTTCAACTTTAAAGAGCTCTAAAAATTTTCATAGAAAGGGAAAAAAAAGTCTATTTGATATGTTTCACATGAACTATTTACCTCTAACATTTCTCTTTCCTGACCTTAAAGAGTAAGCGACCACCTTAAGAAACGCAAAAAAACCTGCCATTCTTCGAAACAACAAGCTTCAAAACAGGCTTCGAAGAGGCTGTTATACCTTTCTTCTTGACCAAAGATTAATAGCATCATTAATTTTGTTTTGCCTAAAACAACAAGACTGAAATTTGCCGTAGGTACATTATCACTCAGTGTTTTTTAGACTTAAATCAACTAAACTGAAACTGTTTTTTTGGGCAGTATTTTGAACCTTGTAATGCGGGTGTGATGTTCATTTGTTGCATTTAACCCAGTTCTACACCTTAATGTCCTAAAAATAAGGAAGGTCTAGAAGATAATAGAAGCTAGGTCACCTTAGAAAAATTTTAGTCAGAGAAGTGTAATAATAGCATAGTGACATCATAGGATTTTCTCTAAAGTTGTAACGTTATAAAAGAGTATCAAATCATTGACTCAGTGCCATTTTCTGCTATAAATAATATTGTCTTGGAGTGAATGTATGGGTTTACTATCAAACTCTGAAAACCTCTAACATGAATTATTAGAGGTGTCACTACATACAGAAAAACCTTTTTGGAGGGATATGTGCTATTTTGCTTTTATAAGACGGTAACAAGCTATCAAGCAGTAGCTGAGTTTTGAGCTGTTGATGTAAATAAATGGTGCATTTTGTGGGAAATGTACAGTACATGCCATTTAGGCACCCTCGACGATGGATGTGAGCACAAAAAATCTATTTGGATACCTTTCATTTTACTTTATGCTCCAAGAAGTCTTTACTTGGATAAGCCCTTGAACTTGTTATGAAACAAAAACGGTGTTTATTAATATAATATTAAATTATAATAACAAATGGGTGTCACCGGACTTGTTATTGTGGTAGAGCTGTGCCAAGTGTGTGCCAACTGTACTTCTTACGATTGTTGAGTGAGCACTGTGGCAATGTCAGAGTGTCAAGTGGGTGGAAGGTAGAAGACACCTTTGCAAAAACAACCCCATTTTACTTCTATTTTATGGCGATATATATGCTATCTTCCCCATTTTCATCTGATTTTATTCTCACTGAGTTATATTTTAATGCTATTTTACCTGTCAAGGTAGATAGAATATATAATAACTTATTTCTGTTTTATGTTTATTGTGAACCTATTTTTAAGCAAGTTAGGACAGAGTGGTGTATTTTATCTCTGTTTTTGCATTTAATCGTTCAGTACTGAAAATACAATAATTATACGACATTTACATTGAGGTGTCACTCTTCTCTTTGAAGACCTCATTTTAATAATGTACTCTGGAAGCTCTTTTTCCTGGTTGCCACCTTACTATGCCCATTGAGGGATATGCGGTGTTAAACTAGTGAATCACCTTTAATGTTTGAAATCTCCTTTGTATTTTACCAAGATTTATAGTGTCTAGGTCAGAAAAGTTGCAGAGTATGTTCTATTTATGGCATAGTGCTTCTACTTATTGTTTTAGATGTCGAAGACTCTTTTTGGTAAAGAGTTCACCACACACAGCATCAGACGGTCTGCAGCTTGATGGGCTGCCAGATGTGGGGCC